GGGGGGGGGGGGGGGGGGGGGGGGGGGTTGTTGCGACATATCGTGTGAGTGACAGAGTCACCCCCGACATCTTGCGGCATTGACTGCTGCTGCTGTGGCCGATGCCGCCCGGTCTTCCCTCCCCCTCCTTGATTCTCACCTCGTTGGCCTTAGCCCTCTGCTTGATGATCATGGCGAGGCCGGCGTCAAGACCGTAGCGGTGGGCCAGTCCCTCCCGGAACTTCTTGGCGCGGTAAACGCCGCCGGCGTCGGGGGACACGACAACTGAGGGGAGCAAAAACAACATCAACAACATCAACAACAACAACAACAACAACAACAACAACAACAACAACAACAACAACAGATGGTTTGGCAACAGCATCGATCAGACGAGGGTCATCAGGTCGCCGACGAGCCGGCTCAAGGACAGCCGTGAGGGCAACAGGGGCATCTCACCCAGGCACACGCAGATACCTGCGAGTAGCACTGCTGCCAGTAGCACTGCTGCCAAATATCGCGTCTTACAAGGCCGACACAAGCGCCGCGTGGCAACGGACGAAAAACAAAGGGCAAGTGACGAAGAAGATGCTACACCAGTGGTATGCACCTCGGACGAGGGCTCATCGGGAGTCTACAGTTCGGGGAATGTCGACGCACCTCGCTGACGCGCAGTGGCATCACCGTGACTCCGCCACATCTCCGCCAGCAAGGCGAAACTAGTACACCAACAAAGGAAAAAGCATACACACACAGTTCATGGCAGATAAAAGTGTTTTGTGTTTCCAACCGCACAAAGACTGACGTATTTTCATTGGTCAGCCGGTTAGCGCGGTCGATGCTAATAATAAAAAAAAAGAACACACACACACACACACCAGAGCGGCGATGTACCACAGAGCAAAGGGCGCATCAACATCAACCTTGACACTCTAGAAAAAAAAACACACACACACACACACACACACACATCTCACGTACGCCAAGAGCATCACGTGATCCCGTAAGCCGAACAGTGCGAGGGTTAGGAACAAACGCCGAGCGTGTGGAGACCACGCACCGGGGTTGTGAAGGTCCGTGTCCCCGAAATATCCCACGCCGATGACGCCTCCGTCCAAGTTGTCGACGGGGACGCGGGGGCCGAAGAACCCCTGGATCTGTCCGCAGTGGAGGTCGACGGCCACAACACGGTCCACCCCTTGTGACAAGGAAGCCGACGGTACAGCAGCATATCAGGCCGGTCGGGCCCAGCCAAAATGAAGAGAGAGAACGAGAGAGACGGAGAGAGAAATAGCGAGAGACGGCAGACACACAGAAAGAAAGAGACAGAGAGAGAGGGGGGGGTGGGGGGGGGATGGGTTGGTGATGGTCTATTTTCTCGGCTCTTTGGCTTCAACAATTCATACCGAGAAGAAAATGGTGCCATAAAATGACCAGGCAGTGAATCTGGGCTCACGGCACAATGTCCAAGTTCGCTGAAAGCAAGGCTACCTGCAGCGCAGCAGCAGTCCGGAGCACACGGGCAGTCCTCGGACTCAAGATATAATTCTAGCAAAGGATGGACTGCAAACAATCGAACACCGAAAGACTCGGGAGCGGACGCACACACGTCACAGGGGCAAAGCGACTCGTTTAGGCTCTCACGGTTGGTGGTGCAAGGCCAAAGAGGCCTCCTCTCCCCGAAACAAAGAGCACGGCAATCGCCGGTGCCTTCTCATCAATCTGTCTGTCACCAACCCACTCGCCCAATCCTCAATCGACCTAACCAAGCCGAGAGGTTTAACCATCCGCCATGCAACTTCTGCTGTCTTTCGTAGGGTTCCTTGGGCACGCAAGTCTAGTCCCGGCCCTTCTCTTACCCATGGCCTCCATTAGTCGGGCGACGTCCGCGGCGGAGATTGGCACCCTGGCGGTCATCTTGCGGTCCTGCCTGGCGTAGCCGTAGTACGGGATCACGGCCGTGATGCGCCTAGCCGAGGACCGGCGCATCGTGCTCACCTGTCGCAACCAAGAGAGGGGCAACGCGCGGAGACGAACGGCAACAGCATTGTATATAAATATAAGTGTGTGTGTTCACCCTTTCGATACTCTGAGGGCTCGCCAATACATTCCGCCGCCGCACACCACACAATCGGGACACGTACCACCAGCAGTCCAGGTGATGACCGGAGAAGTGTATGAGCTTCAATTTTCATTAAACCACGCCTGCCGGAATACAAAAGAACAACCACACACATGTACCGTGCTTGGACAATGCCAAGCTTGTGCCGCGAGCGGGGCAGTAATAGTATTGCACGGGTAGAGACGGGACACATCAAGCGCAACACGAGCGTCGACAAAGGCGACGCATAAAAAAAACGCACAACCGGACCGCAGAGGTACAATAACGAACCGTAGGAGACATCATATACCACGCCCCCCAACCGATTCTCAAGGCTCGGCGTAGCCCCACGACGAAGATGACACCAAAATCAAAAAGTGTGCTTTCGGAAAGCTCTCGACTAGACGGTTCCCCCATGGCCATTTTCGGTACCGCCACCCTGTACCCTGTGGAGCAATCGAGCTTGGGAAATCGTGTGATATCTCATGCCACGTCCGGTACGTGCAGCTTGCATACATGTACCGCTGCTGCCGCGGCGAGCGGAAAATTTAACTTTCACACCGGCTCGGCTCGTCTCCCCTCTCCTCTCCCTCACCATGAGCAGCAGCTCCACCAGGTTCTCGTTGACCGGCATGCACGTGGGCTGGATGATGTACACGTCCTTGCCGCGCACGTTCTCCTTCACCATTACGTTCACCTCCCCGTCCGCGAAACGGTCCACCTGCATTTTTTTGGTCGCCGCGTTGCCGTTGTGTTGTCCGTCCGTTCGGATTTATGTGGTGCGCAGCGATAGCGATACGGGCGTGTTCCGGGTCAAAAAAGGCGGAGGCCAGAGGGGTTGGGTTTGTTGGGTTGAGGGGGAACTTGTTTCGCCGCATTAGACCGAGGTAGGAACGCAGAGTTTGAGGTGCCTGTTTAACCGCTTTGGGACGCAATTCGCCAGCGGAGTGAACTGACTCCCCAGAGTTGAATGCGAAGAAAGGTCCAGTTTTCAAGATGTGTGACAGAGCCTCCTCACGCCAAAAAACAAACAAACGCGGAGAGGCCAATGGCAGCGATTTCGCGGAAAGCGGTCGTTGCAAGCGGCCAAAAACGCCCAAAAGTTCGTCAGTGACTGGCGCTTCAGAACATTCTGCAGCCAAACACGCCGGGGAGAGTTTGGAGCTGCGTCGCCTGAAAGAAGACCTTCTCCAAAATAGTTCCGTTGTCGGGGTGACGGTTCGGGGCAAGCGGGCCAACCGCGATGATATCGGCAGGTCTAAGCATTATAGTGGGAGGCGCCGCACTCAACACGACATATCGCCTCACAAAGTAAACCTACGTCACTGCTGCACAACACGCGAGGGCGTACGGGCGAGAGGGACCCGCCTGGGACAGACCTATGGGGGTTATAAAAAAAAGTAACAGTGGCAACCTAGAATGTTTTCCAGGAAAGCAACAACCACGTGCCACTACACTAGCACGAGGGCAACGCGGAGCATCAAACCAACACCGCCACCGTGGCACTTGACACAAAACACCCACGCGAACAAAAAAACAGTCGCGTGATAACGCCGCCGCCACCACCACCACCACTCCCACCACCGTCGAAGAGACAACACAACAGGGACAACGAGCGACGCAGCAACTCCGAGCACCCACCTTAACCCTGCCCAGGTTAATTCCCAGGTACGCCGCGATGTCCTTGGCCAGCGCGGGGTTGGCGTTGCCCGAGAAAATCTTCATGCCCCCCGATTCTGTGGCATGCCCCACGGACAGCGAAAGAGGAGAGCCGGCCGAAGGAGAGAGGTTCGGCGTGCGACACGGATGTGGTGTCGAAAGCCGACATGGCGCCAACTACTCCCGGTTTTTGATTTGACCGGCGCTCGGCGCTCTGCCTTTTTCGCTCTCGACTCTGTCCTACCTTGAAGGTCGTCGCGCCGGCATCCACGCGCCCAGCTGTCAAGAATGTGCTTGCTTCTTCGCATGCAGCGTCAAAAGGCTGTGGCAATCAAAACGCCAGGAGTCCTCGACGTTTCATACCGTACACTCGTGGTAGTGGCTGGGGGGGACAGCAGTTGTCGCAACGGCAGGAGTACCGACAAACTGCCCCCCTTTGGCCGATGGTCAAAGCTTGGTTGCCATCCCGACGGGGAGAGTGCCGCTTCCGCTTCCCAGAACAGCAGCGGCACTGGAACAACATCCCGCAAAAAGACCATCCCTTTAGACGTACTGTACCAGGCGGTTGGTGTCAGTACCTGGGGCATACCACCGATCTAGCTTCGAAAGCCTCTAGGGGGGTGGGTACGTATCCCATTCTGTGCGCTTACTTGCGCATACATCACGGGACGGCCTGCTACTGCTGTTGCTGCAAGCAACTCTCCGTATTCGTCGCAGGAAGTAAAAAAAAAATGACCGTACGCACCGCCGCCAATAGCCTCTCTCCGGCAAAAGGTGGTACCCTATGCATATGGTGTGGTATTTGCGGTCGGCTTTATACGGATGGGTCGATACGCTTTCCCAGCGTTTGAAACGGTCGCGCCATGTCGTGGATGCGCCTGTCCCTCGTACTGCCAGTGACCGGATACCCAGTTAAGTCTTCGACTCCCGGCTACAACTGTATTAATAGAGCACATTTCATGTCGCCCACACACACAGCCTTACAGAAGCATCTCGTTCCCGAGCCGAGCACAAACGCATCCCCATACTGTATCTAACCCCAATCAAAACTACACTGCGGTACCGCGACGAACAACAAACCGGCATGATAAAATTTCAGTGTAAATTACAGACTAAATAGGCTTCAAACAGACTCTCGACATGCGCCCAGCACCCAGTCGGTTTCGCTCCACTCACTGTAACTATAGCCCCCAACACATCCCGTTTGACTGCTGTGGTTATATCTCGAACGGGTACGTGGGAAGTCTTGTGTTTGTACCATTTATTTTTCCTACAACGTAAGATCGGGGTTGCATTGCGTTTGGTCTCTCACTTGGGCGATCCCTGTTGGGCCACATGGCAGACCTCGAGTCTTCCCTGTGGACCCCCGGCATCATCGTGGACCTCGAGTCCTCTCGCCGCATGGGAGGGGCTTCCCCCGCAGCGCCTCTTGCAGCTTCGCAACCGACCAAGCCGCTGCCCCGCTCCTCCTGCTCCCCGGTTGCTGTGAGAGCACCGCAGCAAGCGAGGACTGCGGCAGCCACTGCCGCGAAGCCACCCCCAGCGGCGGATGATGACGATGATGCATCGAAAGGGCGACTAGAAGCGGAGGCCCGTTCAACTCCTGCTGCTGCTGTCCGCTCGCAAGCTAGTCCTCTAGCTGCTGCTGCCTGGGCTAACGGCGCCCATTGCGCCGCTGTTGTACGCTGAGAGAGAGATGGGAAGCCACATGCATGTGGGGTTCAGGGTGTGTGAGTGAGTGTATTTTCCGCCACGTTTTGTCATTGTAACATGAACCCAGATACACATGCATCCGAGATGCATCCTCTTTGAAATTTCAATTTGCATACAACGTACCCGTTCAAAAAATACCAAGTTTGCCATGAACGAATGGACGCAAGGGGAGGGGCGGCGAGAGCTCAGCAGCACGCTGCATTGTCACCAGGACACCAAGCAAAGCGAATGCGCCCGAATTTGAGGGGTAGAGGGCGTGTCTCAGAGTCACATCTCGCCGCTTGACTGGAAACGTTTTCGCGGTGCAGCAGCAGCAGCAGCCTACAGCAGTACCACCGGCAATGCCTGTGCACAAACTTCATGTACTCATTGGTTGCCAACATGTTCCACGAGACGGACTCACCGCCTGGAAAGTCACTCGCGAAACAGCGTGAACAACAGCGGAAGCCATTCTCCCTGCTGGAAGTCGTCAGCAGATCTCCTGGGTCACAGCGGTACGATAGTTGCAGCCTGTTGCCCGGTAGCGTGTGCTGCTGGCGACAAAAACTTTGAAAAAAAAACGTGTGGGCCGCACTACAACGCACGAGGATCCACACACCCGCTTGCACCAACTATCTCCTGAGCGATGGGAGAGGAGCAGCGATGGATGGTCGCGTCCAACCACACCACCAGGCAAAAGGATGCGTTGCCTCTGGGGAGAGAGATGGCGTGGAGACGGAGCACCGCAGCACGCTACGGCTGCTTTTGCATTCGCTCCAGGGGGGCTCGCAGATAGCCCGAAACTAATCCGCTGTTCGCATACCTGATCTGGCGGCGTGACCCATGACCCCCCTCCTCAAATGTCCCACAGGAAACCAGCAGTCTACCTGATACGGCATCACAGATCGGTATCGGATCGGCTCTCTCTCTGCTTCCTGAAGGTCTGTGGGCGCCCTGGTCTACTAGTGTTGTCTTCGGACTACGAGCTCGTGTTTTCTGTCTTGCTTGAGTCTCCAAACGGCCGCATCAGATGATGGAAAGCTGCCAACCTGTCTCTCCACTTGAACGCTCTACTGGTTTGACTCTATTCACTGCAACAGAGGTTAGGGAGCCGGCTAACACAGCAGTACTACCCGCAAGCTCTCCCGAGTTGTCTTTCGTAGGCACCTCTCGCGATGGGGACGCTTGGAGCGTTGCTCTTTCTCGATTCGAGCTAATTCAGCCCCGCACGTTTTGTATGTACTGCTGCAGGCGAGACGCGGGGTGTCGGTACTCATCACAGCACTAAATAGCGACATCAGCAGCAGTCGCGGCACAATGGACGCAGCTGGACAGCACGGCTGGCGAGCCTTGGAATCTTCCGCCGATGCTCGTCCAGGCAGCACAGCCAAGGTGTACTTCAACAGGTCAGCTGCCCCCCATATCCACGGCACTCTGTTACGATGCACCAACAGCTGTGTTCACAGCAGTGTTTGTAAGTGTGCAGCACAGCGGATGAACCCTGAAGAGAGGCGGGGGGGGGGGGGGGGGAGGGGCAATCACGCCCTTGACAACCAGCTTGGCTTGTCGGGTGCCACTTGACGTAAGACGGCCCCGGATTACTACAGAGCACGTAATCTCGAGGCAATGGGTCGTGTCATACCCAGGCCCCAGGCGGAGATCCCCGGCAACGTACAGGATGCGCGTGTACGATTGGTTGTTTGTTCTTTGGAATTTTCAGCTGTTAACCGCCCCTCACACCTCATGTCTAGGACATATATATATGGATACCCGAACGATGAACGTACTCCTTCCTGGTGATGGGCAAAAGGTTTGCTTCCCTGGGTTTAGCCGTTTGTTGTTGCATGCCAACTCTTTGCGCTTGCCGTTTCCCGTACACCGTATAGCGAGACTGGCGTTTCCACCTTCGAGAAACCGGAGGAACTCAAGACGGCGCAGGAGCGACATCGGGTAAGCCGGGAGAGGCGTTGGTGACTCTCTTTTTCTGAAGACAAGGCCGAGACAGGCGAAAGCTTTCAGCCTGGCCGTACCCCTGTGTTTGCGGCCGCACAGCGAAATCCCACCTTACTCCTTGGGATTCCTAGTGTCGAGGGGCGGCTGGAGGAGGTCAACACGTACGCCGAAGCGTCGACAGCTGACACTTTTACTTTTCACGCAGCACTGTGACACGAGATACTCCTCTCGCGAGTTTCACATCACAGCTCAACAATGATGGGGGGGGGTTTCCGGGGCTTGGTCTTTGTGGGCTGTATTCAGCCATGCTCATTGCCGTCGTTCACGGAACTAGGCGGATATGCCGCTGTCACAGCAGTGTTCCCCTGCTGTTGTATCACTAATGGCCTCGGTTTCCCGCCATCTTTATTGTCCCACGTGTGCGCCGGGTGTGACTGATCGGGGTTTTCAACGAAAGGACGGCATGTTAGCCAAGGGGACAGAGTCTTCAGCCTTGTCTCGAACGGTCACCAACTTCGATGACATCGACGAGGAGGACAAGGCCGGTCGCAAGACACGCCTGTTCAAGAGGAACGAGACGCAGGGGTACATCGACACGCAATCCCTGGACGCCGCCAGCTTGGACAAGGCAAGATGATTCGGTCGAGTTTTGAGAATGACGCGGTGTTTTTGAGGCTCACGGAGCTCTTCTTTCAAACTCGACAGGTGTTGTACGATGGGTAGCGTTAGCTTTCCGGGCCCGTACGTACCGTCGTACCATCATACGGTGTCTGGTCATGTGACGCACAGAACGACGTATTCCGAACCATGTCGCGAGACGTTGCATCATTTGCGGACCGATTCGTCGGCTGTGCATCCATATCCGGATGCCGGGCTGGACAACGAAATGAGTGAGGGTGGGTAGGGCCAGCAGGGTTCCCCGTGCTTGTAGACGTGGGAGGGACCCTTTCTTATCTTGGCAAACGTGCTGTAGGCGTGTTTAGCTGTTGAGAAGACGAATCTCCGGGGCTGTAGAGGGATTTGTTGCTGCCCATGCTGAACGGCAACGACGTGTGTATCCAGGTTTCATCATATTTTTGGAAACAGAGCGCCACGGCACGTTACATGGTAGTTTGCTCAACCCAGCCCGGGACGTTGTTTCCTCTGCCGAGTACCAACGGCCGATCTAGTTTGTCTAGATTTTCAGGTTCTTGACAGGGCGTGGCGGATTGGCGCTATTATTGCATTTGGAGTTTTCGATCCTCAACTTCTACGCTCCCCCTGAAATGCTGTTTACCTTTTCCCATTGACGTCTGATCGCTCTTTTGGGTTCGCAATAACGGCCAACAACAATATACGAAAATAGCCGATCGGCGAGGAAAACCGGGGGTTCAGGTTACTGACCAAGATGGGGTGGAAGCTGGGGCAGGGCTTGGGGGCAAAGGGGGACGGGATCACCGTACCGGTGGTCCTGGGCACTCAAGTGGCAACGCTAGGATTGGGGAAGTCTGCGGAGGACGACAGGTGATTTAGTAGATTGCTGTCGTTACTGAGAAGGGTTGCCAAGAGGAGTGACTCGAGCGGGAGGGTTGGGTCCTCTTGGAAGCTTGAGGTTTCTCGAAAACGGCTATGTGCAGATGTTGGGGCCATGTTTTTGGGGTATGGGGGAACTCTTGATCGTGTTGTTTTGTGTCTGTGCGACACTGCATGCACACGACACAAGGGTCGATGTAGTACGTGCTGCTGTGTGGGGTTCTTGATGAAACCTAGTTGTGGCAGGCAGCAGATGGTAGTGCGTCGAAGGCTGGGGCTGCTTTCGGGGAGAGCTTGAATGGTGCCTGTATATCAGGTGGTGGCGCTTCGTGTGGCCTCGTAGATCAAGCCGGGCGAAGGGCAGGACCCTGGCGGTGAAGGACTGCCTGCCTCGGTGAGCGGGTGGTGGCTGGCGTTAGCGCCGACAAGTCCCTTACGCGTGTATGCGAAGGCTGCATGTCCCAGTAGCGGAAGAGGCAGGGTGCAGAAATCGTGTTTTTTTTTTGTTTGGGGGCTTGCTCGGGTCAACGCGTGCAGCGACTTGTCAGGGCTGTTGAGCTACGGCATGGGCCCTTTCAGGCAGACCTCGTGCAGACTATCTTGCGACTTGTCCTCTTCTTGGGGCGTACATGTCGAGACTGCACGCGCGCGACCACGCGTTGCATGGGCCGACTTGTTTGGTGCCTTTGTTGCCAATCGTACGCTGCGGCGGTACCCCAGGTACACGGACGAGGCCGCGAGGGAGCGCAAGAAACTCGACTCAGAGGTGGTGGAGACAGCGGACATGAAGGCGAAGAGGCTCGAGAAGGCAGTAAGACAGGAGACAATTAAGGAGCAAGTGCAGGTGAGAGACCAAAAGACGCGAATAGACGCGCCCATGTCACCCTTCCCGTGCCACGGGCGACAGCAGCGTCTGCTGCGTCATTCGATGGAGGAGACATGGGCCAACATGCATGCATGCTAACCTATTGCGTGATAGGGTACTGCGTTGGGGGCAGCGGGACCGACAGTTCTGATGTGACCACTCCACGCTGAGGACCCTGACGGCAAGGTCCGCGATATGAACAAACGCTGCGGTAGGGTACCTTGGTGCTTGCAGGTCGGTGCAAGCGCAGCTATTGCTGCCTGTACCGACGTGAAACCTTGACTTGCCTACCTGCTTGTTCGATATCGGTCGAGACGCTGAACAAACCATTTCCCTCTTGTTGAAAGAAGTGCCGTTGATTTATGATAGTGTCGTTTCGTATACTAGAGCTACGACGTGTGGTGCGAAAGAGTGTACTGGGACGGTGTTGCGTGTCAGGGTTCAGAGACTATCGTTCCGGTATTGGCGATGGCTTGAGGGTCGACCCACAGATAATCGAGCGAGGAAGACCGGAGCAGCGTGTATCGGCAGCGATTTGCATGGCCTTTGTTCGCCTCTCCTTGTAGCAGATTCCCTCTCTAGCAACTGCCCAGTTAATGATTATTGAGCAATTCGTTGCGAGAGCCAATCTTCCTTCTCACAGACATGATAACATGTAGCTGTCGATCTTTTTAGCCGTTTGGTACTCTTCTCCCGCTGATATCCACTTGTTTGTGTGAAACGGATGTGATGCAGGAGATGAACAAGGAGTTCTACTGCGAGACTTGCGGCAAGCAGTACAAGAACGTGGGGGAAATGAGTAACCACTACAGCTCGTACGACCACCACCACGTCAAGGTGATGTAGATGGGTGCTGTTGCCAGCTTTTGTACTGCTTTGGGATAGGGATGTGTCCGACAGTTATGCTTAACGGTGCTCTGTGAGGGCGCCGGCGACGTGGCAATGGTGCTGAATCAGCCGCTCAACCTTAAATGTTCCAGCTGAGCGTCGGTGAATTTGTTGTTTACCTTGACTTTTCTAGTTTGTTCAGACGATTAAGGGCCCGTGCACGCGATATGTGTAACCATTTGTTGTCCACCACGGCGAAGCACCAGCAGAGTTTGCTATTCTTGTTATGGTCACACAAACACGCCGCCGATCCACTCCCTGTCCGCTAGCCTTTGGAACCACTACCGCTGTCGTACGGTACGGTTATTACGATCTAGCAAGGATCGTTCTCCCAAACCAGGTTTTTGCTGACGTCGTACTCTCCTTGGTTGTCGTGGTCATGTTGCGTGTTTTGGTGGTGTGCGGCCGCAGCGACTTAAAGAGGCGGCGGAGGCAGAAAAGGCTCGACGGGGCAAGACTTTCAACCGCGACAAGGAGCAAAGGAAGGAGTGGGAGGAGATGCAGAGAAGGTTGAAGGCCACGCAAGCGGCCACAGGAGGAGGCAGCAGCGCGAAACCGCCACCACCGTAAGTTCCCCTTGGACAACATGTGTACTGGCTCGGATCTTTGCTTCTTTTTTCGGCTGCCTTTGAGGAAGGATTGCGAAGTAGGACCGGCGATGTGGGGCGACCTTTCACCCTTTCCCCTATTCAGGACCGTGTCTATCTCCGAGACCGTATTGTTGATGGTGCCATACTTCTTGGCGTTGCCGCATGCGTTAGAGGCCGGTTCCCACGTCTACAGCGGCCTATGATTTTGTCTGGGTGGGGTCTGCTGTAGTTCGGGTGCTGCCCGGTTCTAGCGCTACGGTAGATCCACCAAGTTCGCGTACGCTGGCTGGCTGCCCCTTAAGAGCATCATTGTTCACCGTGAGATGACCATAACCCGACGTCTACAATAGTGTGTCACGCGGCCGCCGCAAACCTGCTCGTCGCTCGATTTTCATCGAAGACCACCCCTCCGCGCACCCGGCCATCGCCTCTTTAACTCTGCCAGCCCAAAACTCCCAGGAGCACTGCAGGGGGATGGTTCGGGCATCGCCCCTGTCGAGAAACGCACGACTGTGAAATTCGGGCTAGGCATGAAGAAGCCGGCCGGGAAAGGAGGCTTTCGGAGACGATAGCAATCTCTTCCAGTACGTTTTTAGCCGTACCTCTTGCCGTCATAATGGCGGTGGGAGGAAGCTAGGTCCGACGTCGCTTCTTGACCACGATGATGCTGTGGTTGTACGTCGAACACCAGTAACATGCAGTAACATGCAGATCTGCGCCAAAAACGCGCAACATCTCATCTCCGCAGGCGCAACACGCGGGGTCGGTGAAGGGTTTTGTTTCCTGTGGTTCTCTTGTTTTCCCGGTGAGGTCGATAATTCGCGGCAATTCAAAACATGTACTGCTTCGTGAGGCTACTGCACTGAAGCGAGGTCCCAGAAAAGGACGCTCGGAAAGGTAGAGGCTACTGTAGGGAAGAAATTTGTTGGGGGGATTCGTCCGAGAGAAGAGGCCTACCATCCATGGGCCTCTCTTAGAGGCCATGGCGCTGCGGCCGCAGCTTTGAAACCCGCAATCGCGTCAAGGACTGCACTCGGGTCTCCACCCTCTCTAGGGCAACATGCGAACACTAGCGCGCATCACTCGGGGCAATCACGGAACCTGGTCAGAATGGTTCAGCAGCCACATGCGCACATTCATGGTGACGTCTCAATTATCTGTGTGTGGAAACCTTGATGCGCATATACATACCTCGCACGCTCCGTGACAAGCGGATGTCGAGCGCATACGAGGATGCCAGAGAAAGGAAGTGCAGCTACAACGTGGCACCCATTACGTACAAAAGTTCCACCTCCGCAACGCAAGCCCTGCAGCTTTGCAGCTCTAGCCCTCGCAAAAAATTGACGGCTGCACTCTCGCTGCTAAATGACCGCCCCAGCGTGCCAGGGCCGGGCGGGGTGACCAACTAGCCCCCCCCTCCCATACCCATTCATACAGCAGTGGTGTGACAATGACATTTCCTCAGCTGAAGAGCTTCGCGAACGGCACAGAGAACATATCCGAGAATGACGCGATTCCGTCTCCTTTGCTGCCGGAAGGGCGGAGCTCTTGGGCCACGGTGGCAAGCCAGCGATCCACCACTCCCTCGGACCCGTACCACTCGTCTGGCTTGTCCACGGAATGGAACACGCCGTCCAACGTGACCTGTTCGGCCCCCTCGAGGTGTGCGTACACGAGGGGTACACAAGAGTCACCTGCATTGGGGACCAGGACAACGCCATGTAGGTAGATTCGAAGGGTGAGAACGATTCTTGGCACAAAAAAATACTGCCTCCCCCAGACAACAGACTTTTTCGCGTCAACAAAAGGAACAAGACCTGACTGCTCATTCAAATCAACAGGAAGTTTCATTCCAAGTAAAAGGTAAAATCCATTGGGGAAGCAGCCGTGGGCCCACGGCCATCTAATGAGTAGATTCGAAGGGTGAGAAGAAAGAGTATTTACATTTTGGTCAGCGGTATTGTGAGGCACCATTGTGCCAGATGGTCGCCTTGGTATCTCAGGCATCGAAGATCGCTCCCGTGCCAAAGCGCACCCAGATTCGCAACCTCAAAAGGCATTCCACCCCAGACAATCATTCTACGCCCACAGCCCCCTCTAGCCTCCACCTCTCGGTAGTTGTTCTTACCCATGGTTCCTCCCTCGCCGCATACGGTCTGGTAGCTCCTGGAATAAGCCAGACAACGAAAAACAGCAGGAACACGTGCAGCCGAGGAAGCACAGACAAACGGCGTCACAAAACGGGACAAGGACGGGTGACCGAAGCAAGCAACAGTACGCCGAGAAACGTGGGGAGCTACGTTTACGTAGTGCGAATGCTTGTTGTGCGGCACCGTTGTCTCATCCGGTGACCACGGGGCTTTATTAATTCATCTCGGTTCATCGTCCCCCGCTAAAATAGCAGCAGTCGTGTGCACAACCTTGCGCGAGGGTGACCGGCCTCCATCACCCCAGACAACAAAACCCTTAAAAAAGCCGGAGCATCAACATTGACAAACTTGGCCCTAAACCTCCCTTTCCCACCGACTTTGGGGGGTTAACCGCACCGCAAAATCACTCACCCGTACGCGAACCTCGCCCTGCTCCTTCGAGGCGCATCCTTTTCCCCCAAGAGCGCCGCCCCGCCCACGGTAACGTAAAAAATGCCTCTGTCCTTAAGGAACGCCCCCGGGTATTCGTCGCTGGTGAAGGTCAACGCTCCCCTAGTCTACCCAGCAAGGAGGTGGAGGGGGGGGGGGGTCACGCGCATGGGATGACGGGGAGGCTAGTCAAGGAGGGCGTGGCACTCTGTATCATCTTGGCCGAGGTACTGGCGACAGGATGGGTGGACAAAACGGTGCCGTGGGAGGCGTCCACCCAGACGTGCATTCTTCTCGGGGCGATGGCACATTGTGGGTTGCAGCGTACACTGCATGGCGCTGGATCTGCAGAGACATCAAACACGCCTGACCACAGGAAGAATGGAAAAGGGAACATACACGGATGAATTCCGGTGAATTAACTCACCATGTCCATCGGGCCCGCGAAATGTGGAGACCCCAGGGTCACGAGTCCTGCCCGGGCAACCCCGCAACCGGAAGAGGAAAAAAGGAAGGCAGGGAGCGATGAAGAAGGGAACATATCTGAGCATCGTCGACTGTAGTCAAAAGCAAGACCCAAGGCGAATGTCTGTATGTCGACAAATGTTGGGACACAAGATCCAATACAACCAGCGTCCACCGTCGGAAGAAACATGGTTCCAAACTGTTCTCACTTTTGGACAGAATCACAACCATTAACTATCATCGTGGCTCTAGCCAGCTCGATTTCTACCTACGCTGAGCAAAATGCATCGTCCGCCGAATCATTGGCTCAAACCAGATGGATTAGAATCCGGTGGGCGACAACCTGTCGATTCTCAGCCGCAGATCAGGTACCTCTGCGCCTTTCCAAGAAAACAGCAGCATAGCAAAGTTAAAAATAAATCAAGAACGAAGGAGGGATAAGTCTGCCGGCCAACCGCAGCACCCCCTCCCCCCCCCACCGCGCCCCATTTCTCACCAGCCACGACATCTTCGCTGGCGACGCCTTCTTCCCACACCCCTTCCGCTAACGTTGCTCTCGCCAACCACCCCCCGGCGGAGTGTCCCACCAGCAGAACTTTGTCCGCCCCCGTTTCCTCCAGACTAGTGCGCACCGTCTCCTTTACCTACATTTTTGGTAGCATCAGGGAAGAGGGTGGTAATAAGAGGGGGTTGGCAGTGTCATCGTTTAACCCTGCCGTAATGCTGTGCGCTGGTTACCATGGTCGGGGGTTGGTCGGACCGGGCGAAGCGTGTCGCTTGTCCGAAGTGTTTGGGTAAGGTGTTGCCGTTCTTCAGCAAAAATAAATAAATATGTATATATATATAAGTATATATGAAGGCCGGCAGTCGCACGATACACTGGGTTGTCATCGTTGCTGCGACACACGCAAACAAACGTAGCACCCTCTCTCAAGGGCGCTAACAGGTAGCAATGAAGCCGGCGAGTACACGCTACCACCCAACGCGCAGCCGGCCAAACTCCTCAACGGAATATCTCTTCCATAGCACACTCTTCCCTAGCTCGCCTATTCCCCCCCCTGCAACACTTCGCGAACGAGCGAAGCCTGCAGTTTATTTCTCAACATTGATATCCGTCGATATCTGACAGGTCGAAACTCCTTGGCCGGCGGACACCTCACCCAGGGTCGCGACGTCCCTCAGCGTGTTTCGAAATAACCTAACTTATGGATATCCAGGTATCCGACCGTGAGGGTGGGGAGGGTAAGATCTTCTTACTTGTGGTCGCTCCCTGGCTGCCGAGGTGTGTAGCCTCATTGGTTGGGTCCAAAACCCGATGACCCAAACAAGCGAACTCGATGGTTTGAATTAACATTGGATCCTTTCGAGCACACCCGGGATTTGCTCGACGAAGCTGCTGATTGAACTACCGCCTGAGAGCGGGCAGGGGCTTCTGGACGCGACTCCGTCGAAATATGGATGTGTGGTCAGTGACCCAGACCACCCCTTCAGCCGCGTTGACCCATCGCACCTTCTGCAAATACCATGAATAGGCCGGTCCGTCAGGCCGGCAGGTGCCTTTCCAAAAGTCTAGCGTGAGGACGGCGCTGGCCACCTTGAGCCAATCAGATCGTTCCACCGGCACGACGAAGGTCTTCAAGCCCCTACGTTCCAGAGCTGATGCGAAAGCCTTATCTTCCCCCCCGTCCAGTGGGTTCGTATCTGGGACGGGGAAAATAACGTTGCAATTCAGTTAGGGCCAGCTGTTATGGAAACAGTTCCCAACTGGGAATCCCGATATTACGCCTTTTACATCCAAACCCCCATGCGTCAGCAGGAGTTCTGCGCACTTGGTGGGAAAAGCACACCAAAGCGCTTTGTCAATCAGTGCTCGCCTCACAGAAACCCGTTTGCCATCAAACCTTCGAGGCTGTAGGCTACATTGCTGTGAGCCTCTCGGAGCCAAGTTTGGGGAGCTGGGGTGGAGTGTGTGTTCATCATGCTTGGAAAATAGGATTCCAATCCGGGAATATTGGACGATCCTGCGTGGGAATTCCTCGTGCATTCCAAACTGGAATTGGTTGAAATTCCAATCTGGGAATTGTGAATTTACTTTCATATCCGAGGTTACTCTGTGCACACTCCATTCTAGCTGCCCAAACTTGGCTCCGCAAAGCTCACAGCAGTGGACTGTACAGCCTCGGTGGTTTGATAAGGATCATGTCTCTTTGAGGCGAGGACTAAGTGTCGAAGTGCCGTGGTGGGCTCTGCTTGCTATCCAGTACGCAAACCTCCTCTTTTTGGGGGTGCTACAGTACAAAAATCACCGCTGCGCTGCTGGCTCTTCCCCTGGCGCCAGATCTTTTTGCTTTTTTGCCTCATCTGTCTCCTATCCTCGTTAACATACACGCCCCTCTTTCTTCAGTTTTCCACGAAAACGCATTTTGATTTTGATTTTGTGCCCATTTGAATTTTGATTTTCGGCTCTTCGTTACTATACGCCCTAACAACTGGCCTAAGAAAGGCCCGTGCACGACAGTCGCCAACTGGCTAGGCGGGAAGGAAGTAGACTACAAGTACATACATACGTTGTAGTCCATTCAACAACAGCTGTGCGTTACTCTACAGCTTCGAAGTTTAGATACAAGCTAACAACACGCGCAATGCGGGTACTTCACAACAACGACGCTTTGCACGGGTTATCAAACCAAAGCCACCAGTGTATTGCTGGCATGCGGTTGAGAGCGGCTCTCTATTAAGGAATAATAAAAACACACACAGAAAGACTACCCATTCGAGATATACCCACAGTCGAACGGGATGTGGTGGAGTCTTTTCAGTGAGTGGAGGGAAACCGGCTGGGTACTGGACTTATTTCGAGTCTTTTTAAGTCTATACACTGATGATTTATACCAGTGATGCCAGCTGGTGCTAAGTACAAAAACATCTGTATAGGTTTGTGCATGAGAATCACCCATGACAGGGATGACAGGGGACCCCGCGGACTGGACTATAGTTACATTTCGCATGTTTTGTCCCGGACAGGCTGGCGTCCTTACATCGTTACATTGGCCGGCTGGCTAGCGAGCCGGTGCTAACCAGGGGGGGTAACGCACAGTCAGGCTACAAACCACTCGTAAATCATCGGGGTACACAGAGCAGGCTGCTGTTGCTGAGGATTTTGAAAAAAAAAAGGAAACTCACAGTCTCGCGCATCATTGCCGAAGCCGGGCAGAATGACCACTGGGCATTTTGCTGGCAACTTGAGTGCCATGGAGGGAGAGATAAACCCTTGAGCAGCGCCGCAACCCAGCGCCATCACGCAGAGCCAAAGCAACAGCCCCGCCATCCGATTTTCAATGCATGACATGATGATGCCCGGGGTACTGGATGGGGATGGATTGGGGGTATGGTGGACTACGAACTACGAACCTCTCTCCTCCCCCCCACGTCATCCGTCCGTCCCCGTCACCCCCCCGATTGGTTTGAATTTTTGAATCGATGTTATTTACAGTGCCAGACACCAGACACCCGACAAAGACAGCTGTAACATCTACTACAGCAGTGAGAGGTCTTTCTGCCAGCAGCCCGGCGAATTCCCGGGGTCAGTTCCCCACCTCTCCTCCCGCTCTCGCTTTCAGGGACAGAGCCCAAGCAACGCGTCTTACCGGTGAGTGACGTGGCGAGTTGGCCAGCTGGTGCGTTTGCGTCCCATCTTTTCTGGGCGCGAGGAGGCTACATCATGGTCCACGCCGCTTGGTAGGTACATGTGTATTGTGTTTAACGCTACCAGCCGGCGGTCACACAGGAGAAATCCTTCACACCCTGCACAGCCATAGGGTAGTCTCCAGCCTATAAGGTTTGTTCAACTGCATACATACCCAGCAGCAGTTGGTCGGAACTGCTGAAGGAAGGTTGGAACGTAGTACACTAATAGTCATCAAGTAGTAGCACCCGGGTTCTGACCCATTCACCAAAACATTGGAGCCAGTGTAACCAACTACAGCAGCGTACGTATGTACTTCTACGTATTTTTTTGTTAGTCTCTCAGGTTTGTGACGCCCAGTAAGTTGATTGGCAAATAGGCGACCTACAGCAGTAGTCATTGACCAAGATTCTGACCCAGTAATACACTGTACTACTGAACTGTACACGGAGTATATAGACTACTAAAAGTAGTTTGTTTTTATAGTTGGTTGATGTTTGGCAAGTATACACTTGCGAACAAGTGGTGCTTCGCGTACACCACTCAACAACAAAGTGAAGTCTTCCCGGTGCGTGATGTGTGTGTGCAGTCATTAGCACTTCAAGATGCTATTTGAGCTGTACATCGAAGTACTTTGGGAGATCCTTCAAAATGCTACTTCTATTAAATACAGCAGAATTCGAGGCAGATTCCTTGTTTCTTTGGACGTTGTTGAGAGATTGCTCTCGCGTTCCTTCTCGCGTGCCTTCTGATTTCACGTCGGAGGTCGACACCGACTGCTGTGTTGTGTTTTTTTCGACGTAGGATTAAGCTGGTGGGACGTGCAGCCTACACCCGAATACTTGTTCAATTTACGGCTTGTACAACACCAAGTTGTTTACACTTATTAATTTCTATCATGAAACTCATGACGACGTGTCCGTGTCCACAACGTGTACCCACGCACAGTACAAAAACTTACATCATATCGCACTCACTCGTTGAATATTTATTTGTCCACACTAGAAGTATCCATCGGTTGTTTGGCCTGACCTTTGTGGCGTGTTGACAACGAACCACTCATTGCCTTACCACTCACAGCATTTGCATCCGGTAGTTATCCGCTGGGGACACCCTCAACTACATACTCACCCAAACTTCTGAGCTTTGCTTCCAGGGGGAAATCAACAGGAGGACCCCTGCATCGCGTTTGAACAGGCCGATATTTAGTGCCTTTATTCCCCTCCTGGGATGAAGCGATATCAGGGCGTGGCTTCGCCTTTCCTCCTTGTTAGTGTCTGTCTAATCTACCAACTTATAGATGATCCTACGGGCCCAAACAGACCAGAGACCACGGCAGTCCATATACATATCTTCGTGCGTTTCAGTCACACGTCAAGTAGGACAAGTTAAGGGATCTTCTTCCTAGCTCAGCCTAGGAGTGGAGTACCGACCTGATACGGCTCCTTCACCTTACGGTGACGACATTGCTTCTGTGCGTGTGTCCTTCATGCTTGTCCGTCCATGTTGTCCTGCCCCCCTTCCTTCACTTCAATCAAACCCGAGTGCATGCCGCCTAATCTGAACAGGTAGTTGAAGGGTCTGCGTGTCCAACCATGGGCGGGAGGGCATCGTCTCTGAAGGCCAAGGCCCTCAACCAAGACCTCCGCGGAAAGCATTTCGTGGTCACGGGTGCCAACACGGGGCTGGGGTACACAACCTCTCGCGAGCTGGCCAAGATGGGGGCAAAGGTCACGCTAGCATGCAGGAGCGCGGAGAGAGGCCGGGATGCGGTCGAAAAGCTCCGCAAGGAGGCGCTGGCGAAGCCGGTTGCGGAGGTACGTGCGTAGTGGCCGTCTTCGTTTTCTGCTGAGAGTGGAGTACGGTGCTAAGTCGCGAGTAAGAACGTGCGACGGTGGCACGGTGCCATCATTTGTGGCCGCTCGCACTTGTGCCCCTTGGGATGTAGCTGTGTGCCCGTAATAGGGACGCAGCTGTACCACTCGAGGCTTTCTTTATCCGTCGCCATGGGTAATGCTTGTGTGCTGTCAGGAACGCCTCCCCTTTCCACCATTCTGGCAGGATTGACGGCCAAGAGTTGAGTAATAATAACTATAACAACTTCGTTCGTGACTGTCACGGTCGCGGCGTAGATTGCCACAAGGACGAGAGACAACTTTCCAACGTCTTGGGGGCCTATTTATCCGGTCCGTGTTCAGGGCGTTGATCTGCTTGAGGGACTCAGCGATGTCGATGTGCAAGTGGAGGTCCTGGACTTGGGAGTGCTGCAGTCCGTGGTCTCCTTCGCGCAGAGACTGAAGTCGTCCGGCCAGAAAATCGACGTTCTCATCAACAACGCCGGGATCATGGCCATCCCCACCGAGGAGCGCACCGTAGACGGCCTCGAGAAACAGATCGGGGTGAATCACTTCGGCACGCACCTTCTAACCAGATTGATGGAAAAGCAGATCATCGATGGAGGCCGCGTGGTGTTCCTCTCTTCCGTGGCGCATAAACATGGCGGTTGGGACTGGGACAACGTAAACTACACCAAGCCCAACAAGTACGTGCCCATGATTGCGTACGGTCGGTCCAAGCTCGCAAACGTCCTCGACGCGAAGGCGTTCGCCGGGCACCTGAGCGATCGCAGGATCAACACGTACGCGCTACATCCAGGGGTGGTCAACACTGACCTCTTTCGGAACGTTACCGACGGCCGCTTAATCTCTCGCGTTTTTCGGGTGGCGAAGTCTCTCGGTGCCTTTGTGCTGGCTTCCCCCCTCACGGGGTCGTTGACCACCCTGCGATGTGCGATCGATCCAGCACTCGCCGGCCCCGAGTTTTCGGGAAAATACTGGTCCCACATGAAGCAAGTCCAGCCGTCGGCGCTGGCGTCGGACCCTGCCAACCCGCCTCGCCTTTGGGAAATCACGGAGGAACTGCTGGAGACTAAGCTAGGAAAGAAGATCGAAAACCTCCTGAAGTAGTCAGCTAGTTTGTGAAGGTGGCCGAGACAAGACAGCCAGTTGCTTGCAACGAAGTCCATGCCTTGTAACAACATAAACCTTGTGCAGTTCGTGCTTTTAAGAATATTATTTCAAACGCTTCACTCGGGAACTGCTTTGAGGCGGAACTATTTTCGGCGGGTGTGCCCAAAGGGGGTGATTGCTTAGGCGGTTGGTGTGGTATTGCGTTCATTGGCGGTGTCGACTTTGAAGGACGCGGAAAAACGTATTTATGTATGGTGGTGATTTTTTGGCGGTAATGCCATATGGCAGAAGTTGTTTGGGCGGTAGGAAGTATTGGGGCAGCAGAATCGCTTTGAGTTGGCCCCAGGGTTACTGAATTTTGTTTTTTTCAACTCGCTGTCTTTGCGTTAGCCCCGGGGTGTTCGTGTTCCGGCAAATTATTGGGGCGCCCCACGTGGCGTCGCACACAAACCCACGGACGTCATTCCAAGTCGCCCCTCTAACTTTGAGGTAACCCCGGGTGTTTGTTTTCACCAAATTCAAACGATCCCCCCGGGATGCCTTCTCAAAGGATATTATACGGTACGCTGGGGAAGAAAGGATATCGAAGGCCTCCTGATAGTTCGTGAAGGTAGCCGAGTTGCATCCAACAAGTCCGTTTTTTTGCAACAAAGCTTATGTATTGTGGCAAACCGTATGCAGTTCGAGCTATGTATGTACGTTTTATCCCAAGGGTTTACAGGCCGACGTGTTTTCGGCGGTAATGCCATTGAGCGGTAATTTTTTCAGCGGTAGACGGTATTGCGGATTTGGTGGTATCGAGTTTGGCGGAGGCGGTAAAACTTCTTTATATTGTGCTTTCTCGGCGGTAACGTCATTCGGCGGTAAATTCTCGGTGGTTGTAGGCTGTTCTTGCGGTGTTGGCGGAGGCGGTGAAACAAGTAGAAGGCGGTATTCCGGTACCGCCAACCAGGGGGAATTTTCCCGGCGGTAACATTACCGATTAACCCTTGCTATTTAGTGGAATAATTGTAGCATACGCTAAGGATAGAGAATGGAGATCAGACCGAAAACTTGCTGGTAGTATTTGTTTTCGATATGGCAAACGAAAGTGTAGGCCAAGAAAAACAGGCAGCTCGTAGAGAATAGGCCAAATATCCTTCGGCGTATCAGGCACCAAAATCCCCGCTGTGTCCTTGAGCAAGTTTGGAAAAGGAGGTTGGGGGAATGTTTTCTTTTGCGAAAAAGGAACAAGATCCCTCTCGCGTCTTGCATTCGCCCTGGGGTTGTGTGTGTTTTCATGAGATCTCATACGTCGCGATCTTCTTCATCATGACAACGCACGAAGATTATAACTTGGAACACCTCTTGTGCATTCTGTCCTAGGGACAGTATGAAGAAGGGCTACGGGGCAGTTCGGTAAGCGACCGCGGAACCAACCCCAAGGAATTGGCAACTATCTAGCAGCAACAACTGCTTCCTTGCATTGCGCTCTGTGGGAGAACCCGCGTTCGAATGGTAGCCATGGCTAAAACAAATCTTGTCCACAGTAGGTCGTATGGTACCTCTTCTTGGTTTTCACAACAGGAGACAACACGGTAACCCGTTGACCGCTACCGCTTTCTCTCTTCACGTGGGAATCCGCGATTCGTTCCACCTGCCCCCCCCCTGACTCAACGACACCCAATCGCGTCACCTCCAACATATTACCCGATGTGTGCGCTCGTCTCAATTGTTCTAGCGCCGATCTACGCGGACCTATTCGACCGGCGAATACGTATGAAACAGAGGCCTTTGACCCCTGCCCGCCAATAGTCCTCTTGGAGGGATGATTTGCCGCTTCTTCCATAGTATAGCTGGAGGAGGAAACTCTTCAAAGCACGGCAAACGGTTGCGAGGCTCCTTGTACTCCGTGAAGGAAAACCAACGCTCCTAACCAAGGCCTCCATGGATATGTTCTGGGGCAAGTCGGTATACCTACAGCATCCCCGACATATTGCCTGCGTTGGGCGGGGGCAGGTAACCCAGGCCGATAGCTCTTGGCCAAATGAGGCTGCAAAATTAGTGTACAAGTATGGTTCGACAACCCATGTCCGCCGCACGTTGTTGAAGACCAGCGACCAACACCGAAAAAAGGAGTGGCGGTTGTACTGTTCTGCAATGCAGGGTTCTGTGCTACAATCGAGACCCACCCCTCGAGGCACCGTACGCACCGTTGAACTTGAGAGAAAATTGCAGAGTGTCGACGCGATGACTCCAAGTTTCGTATATGCGCGTGAGAGCTTGTAGGTTGTCTTGTCCGCCCCCCTGCCAACACATTGTTCAATATTTTACTACAGTAATTGCACAGCAAGTCCGAAATACGATAGTAGAGAGACACTGAGCGAACGTGCCTTTTGCTCTTCCCGGGACAACATCCAGCTTAAAAAAACTCCCGTATATCCATTACGACTGCCGCTCGTCATTGACCCTGGATCCCCAGTCTCATGGCCTCCTTGATGGAATGCGCCACACGGCTAGCTAGGTACGGTCCAAAATCTGGAAGGAAACGGAGAGTTCAGCGGGAACAGACAGCATGGAGCCGGAGTTGGAAGAGGCAAGTGAGCAGGAAACCAACAGCTGAGGCTGTACGGTGAAAATCGTATATAGCGACAAGAACTCAAATGGCGACGAGGATGTGGAGGGATTTTACCCACTCGGGTGGTTCATCCAAGAATTATCAAGGAACGCAACAACGACCCATGCGATTTGCTGGCATGAGCGATCTACAAGCAAGAGGACCTGCGAAACACCACCCCCCGATCACGCCACAAGGCGCCCGCTTGAGATGCCTACCCCCTTGTGTCAATCGCACCAACCTTGCAGCACCACACGGAATTACGCCTCCTGCGAGCAAACACGCAGCAACCCGGAAAACCACGCAGACAACAGCCTTGACATGGCAGGCACGGTTGGCCGGCAACTGCGCGTGTACATCAACCATTGACAAGGACGCACCTCGACTATTGTGTAAACTTTCAAAAGAGCAACAAAGGGAAAACATATAGTACAATGGTGAAACGAGATAGATATTGCCTCCTTCAAAAGTGGATCTAGTGACCTCCGACAAACCAGTCCTTCCGGGGTCAACGCAACTTCTGACTGCTGCTGCGGACATCGCGCACATGCACGAACGTCAACAACCAAAGCGGCACGGCGACGCTAGTGCTACGTTTGCGAAATCTCCAGAGATGACAGAAGTGGAAACACACAGCCAGACGGACCTCAATCACAAAATAACTCACTTTGGCGCCCAACTCCCACTGCTAGCCCCGTCGGTCCTGCTGTACCACCGCCGCAGTACACGATGACGTCCAGCTCCGAACCAAACGTCGCCTCTGACAACGGTTTCGCGGAATCGGCGGCACAGCGAAACGTAGGAATGCGTCACATCGTGAGAATACTTTCTAGCGCAACGACTGTTGTCGTGGAACGCTAATCAACGCACTTGCGGCGGGGGATTTTTTTATGTCTCGCCCTCAGCAAAAATGGCATGGTTCGGCCAAGCGTAAAGGGTTTTCGTGAAACAAGACTACCGGTTGTCTTGACGGGCGACGAGGGGGTCGGCCGTTGTCGGTGCGGTCGCCCGCAACGCTTGCGCTGCAGAAGACATCATAAAAAGGCGTCGTGCATAAAAAGACAGGAATACTTGACTTCCGCTGTGGCAATGGTCCGAGCCATGGCAGTCACATGCCCCCCGCTTGCCGTACATGTCCCATCTCCAGCGTACTCCAGCCATGAATGCAAGAGGCGAAAGCTCTCCTTTCTCTGTTCCAACACGCCAAAAGCATTTTGTCATCTTCGTGTCGAATGATGGTGATACGGGCAGGGGTCGTCGAAGCCCACGGGCTTTGGTCGCATGCAGGTGAAGAAAGCATCGAATTCTTTCCAGTCGTTCCGCGATCGCCTCGTGAGAATCTTTCCCCAACGCATGCCTCCCCGTGATTCCTAGGGTATAGCGCCCCTTCTGCCCGCCGAAGCGCGTTTCAACACCTTCCGGTATCTATGGTATTACCCAACCCTAGTCGTACCGCCAAGCTCTCCGTGATGAAAACGGTGGCCGCTCTCTCCCACGTAAGACGTTTTCCACCAACTTTCAAAGTTCCTCAAGCAGCGATGACAAAATAAAGCAGAAGACATGCTGGGAAAAGCACGAGTTCCAAGAAGCGGGAGGCGCAACCTCTCCAACAACGAGCCACGACCATCGTTTGCGGCTCTCAGCAGAAAGGAATCCAGGAAGATGCTTCGACCCAAAAGCCGGAAAAATCGGCACTGGAACCTCGGCAATTGACATATCATGAGAATTTCTGTGGGCCAAGAGAGATTTTTCACCCGGCATTCAAGCTCAACACTGTGCCATGGCGAGTCGAAGTTGTGTGGTGAATACCAATGGACTTTTCGGGATTATTAGGAGAGCAACTCGACAGCTTGCGTGCCCGACTCGGCGGAAATGAAATAAAACGCTCGAGTATCTATGGGCGCGGGGAGCGGAACCCATCTTTGTTGTAGCGAGAAATTGTCTCTGAGGAATGTCAGGAAAAGGATCCCCCTGATAGAATCGCTACCTGTATGAACTGTGACCGTTAGAGACTTTCCATGCGTGACAGGTATCAATACCACTAGGGCTACACTGCTGTGTCGCCTGACAATGCAGCACCTGAGACCACGCCTTAACCGAAAAAAAGCAAATTTTCGATGTCTCGTAGACACTGCGCGACACGCGTGCACTGCGGCGTTCCGGCTCTTACCGCACAGCCTTCTCAATGGGCCCTCCGTGTCCACCGCCCCCGAAATTTTAGCAGCGGCGCAGAGATTGACCGCCACGGCCTGCTCTCCCAGTTCTACCCAAGAAGAACCAGCGCAGCCGCGCCTGAGACCAACGAGTGGTGCGACGGTGATCATGATTGTTTTAGATGCGCAGTTGCAGGCAGGGAGGGGTGGACCGATGGATGGGTTAGTTTTCAAAAGGAAGGACGACGACAGCCAAGTAACCCGGGGACAAAACAGAACTCCGGCCGGCCGGGCTAAATGACAAACGCGTGAATCTTCACTTGTATTGAATCTTCACTAGTATCCAAGGCCGAACACCGGCTCTGGCTATGGTCGGTTCCGGGGTGGCATGTGCACACGATACACTGCCAAGACACACGGCCACCGCCCGTGTGTCGCCCCATGACACGAACGACTGAGTTGCCAGCAGAGCACCAGACGCCCGCGTGAGACAGACAGAACAGAGCCAAGCGACATGCGGACCCAGGGAAGCCAAGAAGATGGCGCCACGAGTTACGGGGCTGTGGGGACCGACTCACTTGCTGACCCTAACGGGGAACACCACGAACGAGTCGAGCACTTGCGGCCGGATGCATCCAAACGATTGCTGTTTCGACGAATGGAGGCAGGGGGAAGGGTGGATGAACGGAAATGTGCACGGAGAGGGGGGACGATTGAAAGGGTCAAGCGATCTCAGTTCGGGCCACCGAGACATCGTTTAGCAGCACGTACACCTCCACAGGGACGGTCGGTGGATCCATGTATTGCAGCGCTAAACGAATTCAATGAAACTCTGCAGAAGTGAGTAGGCATCGGGTTCAAGTTCCAATCAAAACCCGTCTGGAATTGTTCAGACGGATGTCCTAGACGAGGTGCGCTTGTCAACTCGAGTGGGGTCAACTGGGGATAGGCACCATGGAGCTGCCTACGGCGAAACAATGCGGTGGGAACAATCACCTGCCACATGGACACCATTCTTCGACACGGACAAGCTCGTCTTCGAGAGAACCGTAGCGCCAAGGGAAACTGGACCGGGAATACTTCCTTGCAATATTCAATACTTCTACATGTTTCCGGGAGAAAACGAGCACGCCCCGTGAACACAGCGGCCGGTGAACGGAGCGACATGAGTTGTGGACGCCACAAAGTTGCTGCTTGAACGACACAGCAAGAACAACCCACCGCCTCGATAGTCTCCAGTTTGCGCCGCTCTTTTCGAACCCGCCGGTTATCGCCCAGAGTCTTCCACATCTCGAAAGCGATGAAACCCAAGATCGGCAGCCCAATCAACACCGCCATACCGAAGTAGGTGGAGGGGGGAATATCCGCGCCGAACGCCTGTAGCACGAGAAAACCGCGATTTGCACATGATGATCAGGGTGCAGCACTAAGGTATATCAATGGTAGTGGGGTGGCTGCGGCACACCGACTTGACAAACTCATGCCGCGAAAACATTGTTTTAGGTAGGCTCCCCACCAAGTGTCTAGCCGCGGCCACAAGATAACAACGCAACGGGCGTGCGAGAAGAGAAAAGAAAGAAGCGAGCAAAACAACATATTGTACCCCGACGGGCCACACCGCCTTGCGGTAGGAACTGCCCGTATTTCGAAGAGAATGATTGAAGGCTCGAAGCGGACGAAGAAACGCGCTCGACGGCAAAAACCACGAGTGATAGCTGCCAGTGGCCGTGCTAGGGTAAGAGGCGGATGAAAGGGCGAGTAGCATACCCGTGCAAAACACCTCCGACCGAAAGGAGAAAAAAGAGTTTCATGCCAACAGATCACGGCCAAGACACGGCAAACGAAACTTGCCGCTGATAGGCTTGCTAACCATGCCTTGCGCGTGCAAGGGGTGACCCTTCTTACTTCCTCGGCTTCAGAGAGCTTCGCGACTTCCCAAAAGCTCTGATTCGGCTGCCAAAGGCGGCCTATTCGCGTTATATAGCCGCGAAACAGTTGTTCGAAAACATATTTTGGGTGCGTGTGCCGGTTTCGGTCGTACACGATACGGCGCAGATTTAACCATGCTAACGAGAGCCGACGTGGCGAGGAGACGACGAAAAACGAGCAGCTAACCAAGGGTAGGAACCCTTGCTGTCGCTGTTGCCTTAGCATGCCAGGGTACCAGCAAGCAACGGTGTCTTGGTTCAACCCACAAAAGTCATAGACTTGGGTGGAGGTACGAATTGAATTATTTCCGAGCAAGACGTTGCACGGTTCGCAAGCAGTGCAGAGTCATCAGTGGTACCGGTACGCGCCAGCCAGCACTACCGCGGCCACCAGGACTAAACCACGTGTCAAGCAATAGTGGCTATTCCATGTGTCTAGAATTGTACCAGGAGATGTAAGGGCCGACGTCCAGGAATACCAGCAATATAGGATGGGGAAAGAAAAACGTGGTACCCGATACAAGTTGTACAATGCAACGACACACGGAGCTGCCCCAGCAGTACGCAGGGACATAAATATGTAGACACTTTTGTCTCTGACTGCTGCTGAAACTTTCTCGCACCTAGACAGGCTCTCCCATACTCGTGCCACCAACACAACGAATCTCTTAGGTTGCGGAGAACCGCGAGTATACCACGCCCGATTGTACGCTTAGTTGTCCCAGTCCTTTATCTATTTTCCCATTGGAGCAGCACAGATGGCAAGTGCAGCTGTTGGGAGTACTTGCACCACAAGAACGACTCTCTTCTATGGGTTCGGCGCGGCATTGTGAAGGCATTGCCACGTCTGTAACCGTCAGGTGAAGACAGGTTGGGCATCTGTGAGGACAATAAAGTAAACTGTGCGTTTGACTCTCCGACCTCGCACCACAGCCAGTGCTTCTGTACCTATAGATGAGAGGATAGCTGCAGCGACTTCCTACAGTTGAACGCCTACATAGATACAAGGGCGAAACATGCACCCCCTCTCCGTTGCTATCACACCTCTTCCTGTCTCACCCCAGCCTGGGACAGGAAAACCTTCTGAGACCTTCAACACACCCGTTGTTGTGCATCACACGAATCCTCCGGTGGCACCGTATTTGTAGGAGTTATCCAGTCTCTACTTTCAGCATGCATCACTGATGGCACCCGTCTCAACATGCATTTGAGCGACTGCCATATGTGATACATTTAGTCTGTTGTAGTTCCAGAGCTGTTCTGGTGTCTCAACGGGCTCGCAGAGGCACCACCGTATCTTAGGGCAGGAGCGTGTTCTGCAACATTGTTGCCAAATAATTGAGTCTGTAAACTGCTGTTGTACTGCTGTACATCACCCCGATGATGAAGACATAAAAATCAGTTTTGCCGTGTGCAGCTGCCTACCCCCCCCACCCCATGCTGGGTTGCACTTCAGCCGTTTGTACTGAGAATTCTGAACACCAGAATACAAGAGCAATAGACTAGATACATAGACTAAATCACTTTTTTCCGTGTGCAGCTTAACCTAACTCTCCCCCCTATGCTGGTTGCACTGCTGCCGATTGTGCTGAAAATAAGTCTGAACAGCAGTACCACTACAACAATACTTGCCTACGAGACTGTTGGATCCGCACTTTGGGAGAAGCATACGTAAAGTCTACATAGGCCCCTCGGCTTGTGTCACCACAAGCACGGAAATCCCTGCTGCTACACACGCCTACGAGACACAAACTCACCACATGCATGGACATGGGAAGGACATAGAACACTGTAGAGCCGACCAGTGCAACACCGCCGAGAAGCTTTGGCGCTCCCATGGCGGCGCCTGCCTTCCTGCTCGCCTGCTGCTGCTGCTGCTTCTGCTGGTGCTGCTGCTGCTGCTGCGACAGCAGTTGCCTCTCGTGGGATCTGAACCTATCTATGCGTTCCTCGCCAGCACGACTGGATAGAGAAGCAAGACTGGAAACTAGGCCAGGTATTACCAAATGCTAGACGAGGGTCACAGCAGGAGGGAGGTGTACCCACTTCCTGTCTGTCTCCGTGCGCAGTACAGTTGGCTTGCTCGACCAACATCAAGCATTTTTGGTCGCCTCCGCGAGAGCGGTACCCCCAAACCAGAACGCCGCCTCAACCTTTTTTTTTGCCACTCTCTTTTTTTTTTTTGCCCTGAGAAACACACAAAGAAACGGCTATCACGCTCTGTACACACACTGCTGCACTCGACACTACATATCTACAGAACAGAGACTGGGATTGGTGGCGACGCATGCATAGTGTGCTACATAGTACATTTATTTTTTTATTTTATTTTATCTCACAACAGCACAACGGATGGATTTTCGAAAAGTACAACGGATCCAGGACTTCATCCAGTATCCACTTTCTGTTCACGTACGTGCGGCGGAACAATTTATGAAACGGCAACCCAGCGCGAGGGACGAGGAGAGCGAAAGAAAAGAGCCCCCCGGCAGCCCAGAACATTCCTCCAGCCTTCATCCCAGCTTACCCGCGGGTAGCCAGGTATGTCCCGTCTGACACAATTGACCACTACACACGCAGGCGCATAGTGCGCGTTCCATCACGAGCCCCGCGGTTTGGGTCGACAACGTCTACAAAGACTGTACTACAGTACACTGCTGTAGACCCACAGCTAGCTACACAGTTTACACAGGAATAGGGACAATAATAGCGGAGAGCATAGCTCGGGTGCTAGTCTAGGTGTTGGCTACACTCTACGATAGATGGGGTGATTGATGAATTCGGTATTCGCTGAGAACGAAGGATACCCCAACAAGCACATGTAGACAACAGTACTCTGCAGTTGTTACTGTGTTGTACCAATGCGTGGTCAAGACCACACGTTTTGTCTGCAACTCTGTGCGCTTCTTTTTGAGGGCGTGTAACCGTGCGGCTTGTATAATACGTCGACGGCGGCATTTCTGGCGGTAGACGTACCGCATTCTTCTCAAAGACAAGTACCCATAGATAATATGCCGCTTGTGCTCCCAAAGGCGATACTTGTTACATGCTTGTTCTCCCAACTAAATGTACGGACGTCGTAGTCGTCTACGATGCGGGGGCGGCTTTTCGTACCGCAGTATATATGCGGGAGAAAGAAGCCGACCCGAGGATTGCATTACCGAGGGTAGATATTGTATACACTACGTGCTCGTCGAGGTTATCCACCTAGCTAGGTAGACCGCGGGGGCAAACATGAACGCCAGAGAATGCCTTTACAATATTGCTTAGCAATTAAAGGCTAGCCCGGCTCTTCACCAAATAATGCTCTTGTGAAGGAATGGCGTTCCGCGAAGCAGAAAACAACTTGAACGTAGAAGAAGAATTTGCCCAGCGTGAGCTTGGCATATCTTGTCAATAAACTTTATGGAGGGGGCGTAATAATCAACGGGGAACGCGTCTTTGTAATTACCTTTCGGGCCGCACATCGAAAATTCAAAATGTGCGATCAATCACACCCTACATGTTTTTTTTGCCTACATTGGGAAATCGCCTGGTAAACCAGCTTGGTTCGCGTCCAATGCACTTGTTCATCGGGGATACACACGTGGAGAATGGCGGTGACGCGCTAACGCACTTGCAACATCCGGAGTGGGTATGAAATCGGGCGCTCTAGCTACAGTTCACGAGAGAACCTCAACAACAGTAGAGTCGTCTCTGGCTGCCTTCTATTGTTGTCACGGGTGCGACGCTCCCCACACACCGGCACGTACTGGCAATTTCGAGCGGTGGTGGTTATTTTTGGCAAGCCGTAGCTATCCGAACTGGAGCGTAATTTTCTGGGCTTACTCACCAAAATTCGGGTTGGAGATGAATTTCTCGCACGTCGATCTCGCGCTACTGTACAACACCTCAATTGATATGGCGCGCAGTTTTTCTCGAAGGGATTGCTCAAGCTCATGCGACTCCTTGAAACGTTGTAGAGGTTTGCCTCCTATGGAAACGATTGCTCCTCCAACAGAGGTGCGTATTTCCTTGTTCCACTTCAAAAATGACAACATGCGCGCATTTTTCTGAGCGCTTCTCGTGTTGCTCTTCCGCTTTGCGTTTGCCGTCTTTTCATCGTGCGGGAAATGTTGTAGTCAAGGCCGCATTGGCCCGTCGACGGTCAGCATCGGATCGACCCTCACGAGCAGGAACAGCACAAAGAGGTCTTCTTCTTGTGTCCTGGGACGTCGTGTACACTATACGGCGCGGCGCTATGAATCCGCTGCCGAACCAGGACACCCCTTCTTCGCCTCGACCGACCAACAGCAACGACGTCGCGCCTGCGTCCGGTGAAGAAGATGGCGACCTTTTTGGAAGTGCGGAAGATCTTTCTCTTTCAAGCGTCGGAGGAGAGGTGAGCACCACGGGGTGGTATTTGCCTTCTACCGTAAGTCTTAGCTGGAAGGGTTGAAGCCGTTGTCTCGTCGCAGACCCTCAGCCGGTATGTCGCCGGCCGGCTCGACTGGCTGGTGGCCAAGTGGTTGGCATGTACGTTTCCCTCAAAGGATCGCTACATAATGCCGAGAAAGTTGAGATGAAGCTACTGTAGTAGCATTTGAACCTTTTGTTGATGCAAAAAACTCATAGATATGCAAAGCTTCGACGCGACGCGTCACAAGGGAATTTCCCCTACAAGAGTTTTAGGCTGGGCATCTTTGGGAGATCAGAAATGAGGCGGCGAGGCTGAACTGAAGCCTTTATTGGAGACGGTTCATGTCCCCAGACACTCAGGCCTGACGAATTGCACATTAGCTTGAACGGTCTCCTGTTACGTTTGCTTGCTCAGCAAGTCCAAGACGGAGGCCGTTCGAGGTTTGGTCCAAAATACAACTGCCATTCTCTCCCTCGTTGGTCTCCCTCAAATTTTTCTAGGATGTTCCCTCCTGGGCGCTCGACCTGGACCTCACAGCGGACATCGACGCGGCGAAAGCAAGGGAAAAAGCCAAGAATGAGACGTGCAAACCTGCGGCTTCGAGAACATCCGGTACTGGCGGCAGGAGCACTGGACATGCCAGGTATGAAGCGTGAACATGTCGAGGGTACGCAAACCGGACTACTCATGGGCTGTTCCACTCAGTTGGAGCAAAAACACGCATGTTTGATCTGCTTTCTACACATTTGCTTGTCCCTGGCCTCCCTCAGATTTCGGAGAATAAGTAGACTACAGCAAGACGGCCGAATGGCAGTCGTTGCGCCACGGCGTTAGATGATCCTTAGGAAATGAAAGTCCAAGGAAGGGTTGCGCGGAGAGAAAAACTCACCTTGTAGGTTGTGCTACTTCGTGAACCTTGCTGTCGTCTTTACGCTGATTTCGATTCCTAATACGTCACCTCCAGATCACAAGACACCAAGCCGATCTCCATGCACAAGAGAAGGTTCAGCAGCGTCGAGGACATCGAGCTGGGTCGAGCGATTGCAGAACAGACGGGAGAGCTAAAGGTGAGCTAACACGTCGCATTGAGGATTCATCAGTACCGCGGTACTAAACCGAGCACGGATGATACACATGTCATTGCAGTCACACGTGTCGGCCACACTATATACTTTTACTGCTCATTTTGACGTCCATTCCCACACCTATCCATTCCCACACCTATACTCTGCAGGGTCAAGTCTGGAAGAAGATCGCCTTGTCGCTCCCAGGTAGAAGCGCCAGGCAATGTCGCGATCGCTGGTTCAACTACCTGGACCCGAACCTGGAAACGACCCCTTGGTCCACGCAAGAGTTTCGACTACTGTACCTCGCCCAGGTCAGAACGCACCGCGATCGATGGAAACGTTTCAAGTCCTGCAGAACGCGCGAGTGCATGGTGACACCCTCGTGAGGCTGATATTACTGATCGGCCAACCTGCAGAGTAATCGACATCTCTGTCTCTGTGGAACCCCATCCGACGCAATTACGAACACAGGTGCTGCTATATGTAAGCGTTTAGTGGCTGCGACAGCATGTTGGCGTGTTGTTTCGATTGAAACGTGAAGCTCTACACATACGTGCATCTCAACACGCTGTATACATTGTCAGGATTCAACAGTAGTGCCTGACCAACCTCGTCACTTTGCCGGATGGAATGTATACTACCCCGTTCATCTACAAAATTTCTCCAACCAAAACCTATTTTGCAGGCAGCCCTTGGTAGAAATCAATGGGCGAAGATAAAGCATATACTCCCTCAGAGGTCGTCTGTGGGTATCACAACTGCGTCCAAGTCGACCGAGACGGAAGAGTGGCGGAAGACCTTCGATGAAACGTCGGCCGACCCGGAAACCCTTCGACTCTTCCATGAGAGGATGGAGGCTTCATCGCTGTCCAACAAGAATCGCTCGGAGAACTTGGCCAGGAATCAACCAAGCAAAGGGAAGCAGAAATTGCGAACCCCGGTCGGGTTCGCGTCAAGGTTTGTACGGAGGGATCCGTGATCCTTTTCTTGTACAGGTGTGCCCGGTTGGCTTACTCTTGCCAGCTTGCGCACAGCCGTATCTTGTCCCACATTTCGTGCCCTCTGTGTGCAGATGCATGCCGGCTCCTCGCAAACGTGGTGGCATGTTCACGTTACTCCCTAGTAAACCTCTCTGGGTGGAAACATGTTCGACGAAAGCAGCACCCACAGATCGGGAAAATAATTTCCTGGGCCAAGATCGTTGTTGGAATCAACGTTGTTCGACTAACCTCTCTACGTCATATCGTGTCGCCCAACGTGAGACATAACGAAAACGCGCCCGACACACATTGTTTTTTTTTTTTCCGCAGATGCCGAGCAAGGAAAAGCTCGTACCATCAAGCAACTCCGGTGGCGGAACATCTACCATGGACCACGGTGGGGCGTTCAGTGGGAACCTAGAGGGACTCTCAAGCACCCGAGACTTGCACTCCAGCCAGACGAGGGTCATCCTAGTGGTCTGGACGAGTGAGGACATATCGAGAATATATTCGACACATCATGAATATTTTCGACTCAGAGTTGATTTTCCCGATTGATTGTCCCGATACACGTATTGACAGCAGACGCGTGGAATGCCCGTTGGCTGTAGGTGGCTCCTCTGAAATTCCGCACGAACAAGAACACACGCTCGTCTATTGTGCTGCGATATGATGCTAGCTCGTGCGGGAATGATCGCAACGTACTACTGGCGAGGCTGACCCACTTCCAACTTCCAGTAAGACTAATAAAGTACGTTGAAATCACTTGGGGATCTTCGCAAGGGGCGCATTCGCTCACGGAACCTTACATACCAAAGATGCAGCACGATATGAACAATGTGTGTTGGTCTCTCGAGGTCACCCGGTATGCCTGAGAGATCAATTCTGGACTCAGGGGTAAAACTCCCACTCCTGAAAACTCGCGCGCCACCGAGCATTCACGAGTTGAGGACTCTTGTCAATTTGCTGAATGGACCTTGTAGCAGGCCCAATACTTGCCGCGGTCTTGCCCTCCTGAACCAAACTGACACTCACAGAAGAGGAAGACGCGATATTGGCCAAACTTGTGAAGGCGAACAGCGAGAAAAATTGGGCTCAGATTGCTGCAGATCTTAGCGGTGCCCTGCTCACATCCCACCAACAACGAGAGGCCGAGGGCCAATCGTCAGGTCGGACCGATGTTTTCGCGACCAGGACTGGTCGTCAATGCTTCGAGAGGTAAGATGGCGAAGATGTTCTAGGCCGCTGCTTTACGGTATGTCCGGCTCGCGGGTGGTCGACTCTTTTTGTGTTCCTGCAAGTCCTCGAAGTAGTTCGTGGACCGGACACAAGCCAAGAGCACCTTTTGAGTACCGTGGCGGGAGTTTGAAAGCCTGACGTGCATATCTCAGCCTGGCACAATGCGTCCAGTGCCATATCACAGAACCCATTCCTGTCAACAGTGCGCCTTCGCTACAAGTCCCCGTTTCTGATTCATTCTCGTCTGGGAATCTTTTGAAAGGTGGACGACGCACTTGGCGGCTGGGGTACGGAAACATCCCTGGATGGAGTCCGAAGACCACAAGTTACGGCAAGCCGTGCGAAACGCACCCAAGAAAGTTTCTACGGTGAGCCCAAACACCACTTTTCAGACTATTGTGTCGCACCTACCATTGCTGTACGTCGTCACCCACATTTCTGGACGGGCACTTTAAAGTGGTACTTTGCTCTCGTCACCCCAATTCCCGTCGGACTCTGCAAAAATATGGTCATTTGGCTCCCTCTGGCTACCGCACCACGGGGCTGAAAAAGCCTTCGCTGTTCTTTTGACTTTGGTATTCTTGACGTGCGACCCTTCAATAACACAAGCACCGCCTGACGACGCCTAATTGTCCAGGATGGGTTCTGGAGAGAGGTGGCTGAGACGATCGCCAGTCGGACGGCCCGGGAATGTCAACACCGCTGGTTGTCCATCCGGCAGGTTCCCTGGACGGATAGAGAGCGGGAAATTATTTTCCACGCACAGGTTAGGGCAATAGAAACAGAACAAGCACGAATCTTGAAGATCTGGTGGGTCTCGGGTTCCCTGTCAGACTAATGAGCTACCACCTATCGTGCACAAACGGACTAAAGTAAACAAGGAAGGTGCTGAAATACGCAAGGAACCGGCTTCACGTTCGTCAGCGACGTTGCAGGTACGGCAGGGGCGAACGATAGTGTTCGAGGGGACGGAAACAATCCTGAGTAATCGCAAGTTGACAATTTTCGACGCACGTTGACCATCAATATGCTCATCCAAAGGAAACGACCGCAATGGCGAGTATTGGACGAAATTAATTTCCAGCTTCGAAATAATAGGGGTTGGGTGGAAGGGAAAAGCCTCAGCTTGTAGTCACCTCCTGAGGCTAGCAAACCACAGAGGTCATGTAGTGTTACTTGCTCGTCTCTGCGCTACTTTCTCTTCGACACGCGAGGACTCTGGTAAAACAAGGCTTGAACCGAAAGGTAGAATATGTGGACCCATAGTAATACTGTCCCCGAGACCCCGACATATACGGCATGACAACTTGGGTTGTCTCAATAGTACTCGGTTTGTTTATTGTGTCCGCCATTGAATGCACAAACTTGCTCTTTGTGCAGAAACACCTGGGTTCTTGCTGGAACGATATCAGCAAGTACTTCGTGGATCGCACGCCAAACGAGGTCGAAACCACGTTCTGCACATGCGATGACTTCAAGAAGTGGCAGGAATCCAACCGTGTGGTTGTGTCTGAGAACTTCTCCGCGCAGTTCATGAATCGGCTGAATGATCCACTCCCGGAAACGGCTGGAAGCACGAAGTCCATGAAGAGTATTGTGCCTTCGGCCAACAACGTGAGTGCTTTCGCGCGAGTGCAACCTGGCCTGTCCTGCGGCTGGTGCCTTGACACAGTGCTTGGACGCTGTTCTTTACGATCGATTTGTTCGGCAGCAGCATGACGGAGATGTGTAAGCCGGGACGCAGGCAATATTCAAGACAAACAAGGACCAACGTTCATAGGGCCACCGCGAGACAAGGCGCTACGTGCTCACCATACTCGTGTGCGAGTGCAGCGTGCAGCGTACTTCATCATTTCTGAGTTTTTGCGGATTATGTTGTTGCTGTTGTTGCTGTTGCTGCTGCTGCTGCTGCAGTTGTTGCTGTCGCAACATTTTTCGTACCATTCGTTCTTGTTGGTCTAATAAAATATTGTAGATGTGGCGTTGTTGTTCGTGGTGATGTTTGCTGTTGGTGATTATGGCTTTTTCCGTCGATTGATGCATTTCTTTGTGCCCTGGAAAGAAGTCGACCCCTACCCCGTCCAAGATTCGTTCCGCCTCAACACCACGAATTCACAAGACTCCCTTAAGGGCGTGTCATGGCGTCGCAGCGGTAGATATCGAGCCCACTACCTACTGCTCAGTGGGACATTGGTCGGGCATGTATCCTGCGGTCTTCTGGTGAATATCATGTCCGATGGGTAAGCCTTTCCCGAGCACTCGCATGAGTCTGGCGTCCTCTTGCTCTTCGTGCAACGCCGTGATGCTGATTCGTAGGGCGAGCGCAAAGATAAGTCGCGGTCGTGCGACCGGTCGAAGAAGAAGAGGCGCAAGAGGTGACCAGATAAATGAAGCACATAGTTCCTGTATATTAAGGCTCTGCCTGAGCGTCGATCGGACGAAGTTTCCACTGTTCAAAATGTTAAGGTTACCAGCTTTTCGCTAGCGCGCATATGCAGCACGCCTGTGGATGATCGATGTGCTACGGAAGTAGTTCTGGTGTGGTGGTAAGGAAACCGCTCGATTGTACGTTGGTGCTTCATCTGGCCGTTACATGATTGGTCGGTGCTCGCTGCTCGAAATTGACAAGTGTGTTCCCAATATAACCGTCGTCTGTGCGAACGGGGCACGCACCGCTCGCCCTTAATCGTCGTACTTGCAGTGAACAGGGACGGAGTTCTACTGGCACGCAGTACGCAGCGAGTGACGAGGCCTCTACCACCCCTTCTAGGTTTGGGTCGTACAACACTCGCCACGCCGAATCCCAACCTGCTAGAGTCGGGAAAGAAGAAGAGGCAAGTTTGGCATGTACCGATTATAATATTGCTATGATTGACATTGACAATCTTACGAATACCCGAGGCGTTATACAGACCCTCTGCAGTTTTGAAGCGTTCTCCTCCGCGAACCAATTAGTCTATTTAGTTTTTCAAGCAAATTGTTCTATTTCATCATGATCGCAAGGTGTTCGCGGGTTCATCTGCATGCCTCTCTGGTTCCACGCCCTAGAACGGAGGTTTCGCAGGCATTTGCACGACCTAGACAGAAGTAAGGAGGAGAGACAAAGGGTCATCCTTACGGCATGATTGAATTGACGTGAATTAAAGTCGACAAAGAATACCCGACAAACACAGCCTGCGATACTATGTACTTCTACAAGCCTGTACGGATTCCCAATCTTCTGAGTGAACCAATTCTTCTTTTAACGCACGTGCGGTTACTCTCGCCTCGAGAGCTGGCAGTAATTGCCTTCCTTCCTGGATTCGGCTGTTACCAGTGTAGTATGACGGCACGGAAACAATCTCGTGCGGTTGGCTTCCATGCTCGATGCATTGGGACACCTAAGCGTCCGATGAAGGCCGTAGGACCTTTACTATATCGTCGGCTAAGGGGGAAGCAATGCGCAGGTAGCGCGTCTTGACGGCTTCCCATCAGGAAGGCCCCTGTTGCTAGGGGACCGGCCTGGTCAATCAAGAGCCCAAACAGGACGTCTCGTACCTCCATGATTCCGTGTAGCCGTTCAGCGATGCTGCGGTGTACGTCCGGCCATGGGGGTCCTTGGGTTCGACGGGCGTCGCCAACCTCACCTGACCTTTGAGCATAATCTCCTGCGTACAAGGGCGTCGCCTGATAGCAAGTCGGTAGGATGGTAAATCAATATAGCAGAATATTTGAACGTGCGGAAAGCACGGTTTTGAACTATTTCTACTGTAGAATCCCTACAAGTACTACTTCCGGTCCATGCCCACTACCTTGCCTACTCCAGAGGGATGCTACGGTAGGGGGGGCACGTTTTGTGACATGGGTCACATGCTGTCGCCCGACAAGGTCCGTAAAAATGCTCGTAACTCTCTCAATTTTTGCATTTCAAGAAAATCAATTCTGCCCAGGCAGCCGCCTGGCGTGTATCTCGCGGTGTGCAAAACAAGAAGCATTTGTTCCATTTGTTGAGGCAGGAAACACCAGTCCGCCAAAACACCCCCTGTGACCGAGGGGGTACCCCCTATCGTAGCATCCCTCTCCATACATGTATAAACCTACACTACCTCTGTACGTAGCATGACGTCGCTCCCGACTTGTCGTCCCCTGAACATACTAGTTCATCGTGCTGCCACGATGTTTGTCTGCATGCCCCTCGGGTTCAAGACCTAGAACCGCGTTATCGTCCATACGTACCCCATGCAGGTAGAAGCAAGGAGAAACTACGGTTCAGCCTTATGGCATGATTCAATGACAGTTGACAAAGAATATCCAACGAACAACGTGCGATACTTGCAGGATACTTGATAGTGCGGACAGCACGGGTCGTGAACTATTTCTACTGTACAATAGAACCGGAAAGATTACATCCAGTCCATACGCACGACCGTGGCGAATCCATGATTGAATTGACGTGAATTAAAGTTGACACAGAATACCCGACAAACACAGCCTGCGATACTATGTACTTCTAGAAACCTGTACGGATTCCCAATCTTCTGAGTGAACCAATTCTTCTTTTAACGCACGTGCGGTTACTCTCGCCTCGAGAGCTGGCAGTAATTGCCTTCCTTCCTGGATTCGGCTGTTAACAGTGCAGTATGACGGCACGGAAACAATCTCGTGCGGTTGGCTTCCATGCTCGATGCATTGGGACACCTAAGCGTCCGATGAAGGCCGTAGGACCTTTACTATATCGTCGGCTAAGGGGGAAGCAATGCGCAGGTAGCGCGTCTTGACGGCTTCCCATCAGGAAGGCCCCTGTTGCTAGGGGACCGGCCTGGTCAATCAAGAGCCCAAACAGGACGTCTCGTACCTCCATGATTCCGTGTAGCCGTTCAGCGATGCTGCGGTATACGTCCGGCCATGGGGGTCCTTGGGTTCGACGGGCGTCGCCAACCTCACCTGACCCTTGAGCATAATCTCCTGCGTACAAGGGCGTCGCCTGATAGCAAGTCGGTAGGATGGTAAATCAATATTGCAGAATATTTGAACGAGCGGAAAGCACGGTTTTGAACTATTTCTACTGTAGAATCCCTACAAGTACTACTTCCGGTCCATGCCCACTACCTTGCCTACTCCCTACATGTATAAACCTACACCACCTCTGTACGTAGCATGACGTCGCTCCCGACTTGTCGTCCCCTGAACATACTAGTTCATCGTGCTGCCACGATGCTTGTCTGCATGCCCCTCGGGTTCAAGACCTAGAACCGCGTTATCGTCCACACGTACCCCATGCAGGTAGAAGCAAGGAGAAACTACGGTTCAGCCTTATGGCATGATTCAATGACAGTTGACGAAGAATATCCAACGAACAACGCGCTATACTTGCAGGATACTTGATAGTGCGGACAGCACGGGTCGTGAACTATTTCTACTGTACAATAGAACCGGAAAGATTACATTCAGCCCATACGCACGACCGTGGCGAATCCATGATTGAATTGACGTGAATTAAAGTTGACAAAGAATACCCGACAAACACAGCCTGCGATACTATGTACTTCTACAAGCCTGTACGGATTCCCATTCCTCTGAGTGAAGCAATTCTTCTTTTAACGCACGTGCGGTTACTCTCGCCTCGAGAGCTGGCAGTAATTGCCTTCCTTCCTGGATTCGGCTGTTAACAGTGTAGTATGACGGCATGGAAACAATCTCGTGCGGTTGGCTTCCATGCTCGATGCATTGGGACACCTAAGCGTCCGATGAAGGCCGTAGGACCTTTACTATATCGTCGGCTAAGGGGGAAGCAATGCGCAGGTAGCGCGTCTTGACGGCTTCCCATCAGGAAGGCCCCTGTTGCTAGGGGACCGGCCTGGTCAATCAAGAGCCCAAACAGGACGTCTCGTACCTCCATGATTCCGTGTAGCCGTTCAGCGATGCTGCGGTATACGTCCGGCCATGGGGGTCCTTGGGTTCGACGGGCGTCGCCAACCTCACCTGACCTTTGAGCATAATCTCCTGCGTACAAGGGCGTCGCCTGATAGCAAGTCGGTAGGATGGTAAATCAATATTGCAGAATATTTGAAGGTGCGGAAAGCACGGTTTTGAACTATTTCTACTGTAGAATCCCTACAAGTACTACTTCCGGTCCATGCACACTACCTTGCCTACTCCACATGTATAAACCTACACCACCTCTGTACGTAGCATGACGTCGCTCCCGACTTGTCGTCCCCTGAACATACTAGTTCATCGTGCTGCCACGATGTTTGTCTGGATGCCCCTCGCGTTCAAGACCTAGAACCGCGTTATCGTCCACACGTACCCCATGCAGGTAGAAGCAAGGAGAAACTACGGTTCAGCCTTATGGCATGATTCAATGACAGTTGACGAAGAGAATCCAACGAACAACGTGCGATACTTGCAGGATACTTGATAGTGTGGACAGCACGGGTCGTGAACTATTTCTACTGTACAATAGAACCGGAAAGATTACATCCAGCCCATACGCACGACCGTGGCCAATCCAGACAAACACTCGGGTAACCAAATGTGGCCCCGAACTTGTCGCGTCCAAATGTTCAATTTCATCATGATCGCACGGTGTTCGCGGGTTCATCTGCATGCCTCTCTGGTTCCACGCCCTAGAACGGAGGTTTCGCAGGCATTTGCACGACCTAGACAGAAGTAAGGAGGAGATACAAAGGGTCATCCTTACGGCATGATTGAATTGACGTGAATTAAAGTTGACAAAGAATACCCGACAAA